TTATTTATTCATTACTTTAATAGGGACATAATTCAAAAAACATTTGGATCAAGTGGCCTAAATTGCAAAAAACCTTTATAGGTGGTTTTTTTTTAACCTTATATTTAAAAAAAACTTTTTTAATAGTGAGGGACATTTGAATTATATTCTTATCTTTAATTTAGGGACCCATCTTTAGTTAAGATAAAAAACCATGGCATACAGATAATTCAAAACAATATAGAGTCAAAAGAATATCGAAAATGGCTATATACAGAATATAGACTTAACATGAATCAAGACAAAGAAAACAATTATCAATTTTACACAGATGAAGCCATAAGCAAAACATCAGATTAGTCTACAAAGATGGAAGCAGTATGGCTTCAAACAGAAGAACTGAATCCAGAAAGAATGTTTCAAGCAGGAGTTGATAGCTGGCCTTTTCCAACAAGAGCAGAACTAGTAGCAATTCTCCTAGCAGTAATAACTATATCAAATGATAGAAGAGTAGAAATCAAAACGGATAGTGCCAACTATACATGTTGCTGAAATCTATAAATCTTTAATACAATTGATACAATTAATTGAGTTACTATTAAAACATATAAATAATTGAGTTATAATGCAATTATTTTTAAGGATTTTGGGAATTGAGTCAACAGAAAAATAATTTATGTCACATGTATAGTGCCAACTGTATTAATATCTTTACAAAGCTAAGCAAACTTCATTCTAAAGAGACACTATGAAGACAAATGAAAATATCAAATTGGCAGCTATGATTAAGACTAATGAATACAGTTACAAGGAAAAGAATTTAACTGAAACTCACCAAAGTCAAAGCCCATAGCAAAGATATATTAAATGACCAAGCAAATCAGATAGCTAAAGCAGCAAAAGAAGAGCCAGTAATCGTATGGAAATTATAATCCCAATCACAGTATTATAATGGAATAAGATTCCCATAAACATCTCAATCAGAGAATTCATTAAAGATATCAACATGAGAGAGATCCTAATATAATGGGCATTGCTTAACAGAATATAATAGAAATAAAAAGAGGAAATAGCAAATCATGACAAAATCAATTGGAGAGGTTTCTGGCAACATAATTATAACAAAGGATCACTAATCACCTCATTCAAACAGATAAAAAAAAGAACATTCAAAATCAAGCTCTTATATAACAAACTGCCAATTCTGGACAACCTAGTTAAGCAAAATACCCAAGAACTAGTAGCAAATATCAAATGTGTCTTTTGTCTAGATCATGAAGAAACAATAGATCACTTGGCAATTTGCAATAAACTCCAAAAAGAAAAAAACAGAATATGGAAAAATATTCTTAATAAGCTGTGTGCATCCTGGATCACAAAGCACACCAACAAAGACAAGAAGAAAGCCAAATGAAATCTAATACCAATTTATAGAATAATAAAATGATGGATAGTCAAAAAATTGTCTTCAGCAAAAGAATTAATAAACATCAGTATGGAATTGTGGATGAAAGAAGAAACATTAGAGTAGACTTAGATATGTTATGCACTCAACATACACAAAGCAACAGCCTGAAAGATCTTAAACAAAATATTTCAAGATTGGAGTAATGAGTTTCATCAACAAATCTGAAATACAAGATGTAAAAAAATATATGACCAGAAGAAAACACAAGACAAAGAAAAAGAAAAAAAGACAGATTACAACTCAAGAATATCAAGGGAAGTTTTCAAGTCCAAGAAGAAATACAGATTACAGGAAAAGGAAAAGGAGACAATAGCAATACCAGCAGATATAAGCTTAGCAACCAAAGGTAACATGATTTCAGAAATCCTTGCACAGATCTTATGGAACAAGATAAAGGAGAGAACCAAATGGTTAGAAATGTAAAGTAATCAAGATTTTGCCAAGATGAACTGTAGTGATGAACTGTAGGCAATGAACTCAAATTCTCTTAGGAATGAAAGAAATGAGCGAGCAACATTATTCATCTCCAATATCATACTTAGAGATTAACAATCAGAGATAGGTATTCAAGTATTAGCTTAGTTTATGTATAAAAGTTTCACACTTGTATGTTTTCAACTTCAATGATTAAATAAACATAATAATACTTGTTTGATTATGGAAAAAAATAAAGTATTAATCTAAAAAAAAAAATATATAATTTAATGATATATACTATACAATATAATTAATTTTTTTTTTTTTTTTTTTATCGCGAACAAGCATTAAATGCGAGACTTTATTTAAATAAGAATATTTACTGTCATTACATTAACAATCTTTACATAGTAAATTAATTATACAATATAATTAATAATTAAGTTAATAACAAGTTATATAATAAATTAATTTTTAATAAAAATTCTTACTATTGTACTTTTTATTTATTTATCTTCATATATTATATATAATTTTTATAATTAAGCTAATTAAAACATTATATTTGAAAATTTTATAAAAAAATTTTTTAATCAAATAATATGAAAGTTTACTATTATTTAATGAATTAGTTTAATATCCCAATATTAAATATTAAATAAAATATCTTTTTTATATACGTAGTGTTTCAAACTATACTTTTAATATAAAATATCACCTTTTTAACTGTAGGTTTATAATGGTTTAAACTCTAGGTCTAAACAGGATTCATAACACTCTTAATAAGAGATAATATCAATCTTTTTCCGAATCGATACTTAAGATTTTTATTAATGAATATCAATAATTGAGTATACGACAATTATGATATAATATATAATTTGACAATATGTTGGTTCGATAAAAACGTGGTAGATTATGCAAATACATTTACCTACTAAAGTTAAAAAAATATATCATCAAAGAGCGATTATCATACTAAGAAAAAAACCCCCAAATAGGAGAAACTTCAGGATTAATGTGGAGTTGGAGATCTTCGAGAGTTCCTAGGGGATATGGACCGTCGTTCTGAAGAACGACCACGATCTTTTTCACGGTCTTTATCGTAGTCACGTTCCTTGTCTTTATCCCTATCACGATCGCGTTCCCTATCATGATCTCGATCTCGGTCTCTGTCTCGCTCGCGATCGCGATCGGAAGATCGATATGGTGAGCGAGAATAACGACGGGGAGAACGGTCTCGACTAGAGCGATACGGTGAGCGAGATCTTCCGCGAGAATAAGATGAACTAGAACTATGTCTTTCATAATGTGTAAAGCTTTCAGGGTTAATAATTAACAACTAACAATCAAACAAACAAAAAGTAATGACATAAGAACTTTTAAAAGTATAATTTCGCACTTTGCACAATCCCTAGCACGATGCCCCGGCTGTCCGCAGGTACTAATTACAAAATTTAGTGAGAATTACAAGCAACACTGGTTGCAGCCGCATTTTAGCAAAAATAAACTCACAAGCAACGGTTTTCTTCGTATCTGATAATCATCAATAACTTCAGTATCAAAGATGCAAAAAGCATAATGAACTTGACATTGATAAAAGAAAATTACTACCTTCGAGAGCGTTCGCCACTTTATTTTTTAAAAAAACAAATATAAAAATATGTTTATATAGTATTACATTTTATATATATTCCTTCTTTCTTACCTTCCTGGCGGCTGTGAACTTATGTTCAAAATCGAAAGAAAGGAAACTCGCACTACTTATCATTGAAACCAAAAAGTTTTGAACCATGTTTAACTTAAAGATAACTTACCAATCTCTGGCCCTACAAAGAGACAAAATAACGTTAAAGTATAAAAGTGAATAAGGCCTTCAACAAATTAAATTGTTATACAAGCCCTACCAATGACCTTATATATAGATATGGTAAATATATACATATGAATTAGAATTTAAAAGATGAGTTTCACAAGAACAAAATTTAAAATAGTAAATATCATACCGATTTGACCGCAATTAAAACATCTTTCAGGAGAACGTCCATCAAAACGACCTCCACTACCACGACTGCCACTGTCTCGAGCACCACGCCAAGTGCTCCCTACATGAACACCCGTTAGGGTCCAAGAAAGTGTTTAGTATTCTGAGGGAATAGGTTTTACAATATAACATAAACATACCTCTGGCAAATTCCACTAATATTCTTTCGTCATTTCCTGGGATTCGAACACCGTCTAAAGCCCTGAATTAATACTGTGTTAAAACTTGAGTCTGCTGCCTCGGCGATACACCGTTGTCACCAGCGAATTCCTCTCTCCTCGCACCAAGCAGACGGATCTTATATACATATACATATACATATATTTCGAACTGCACTGCACATAACAGAAAACAACTCGCCACCGCCCCGAGTCGTGACTCTCTCTGCCGACTACTGCGTCACCGATCTCCATAGAGTTTTCGCTCCTCACCTCATCGCGTCATCTGCGTCTCTCGGATCGTCAAACTGAACAAAGCAAAAGCCGATCTAAATTCAAAATTCAAAATTCTTAGAATATGCTAATGATTGTTAAGTAAATTATAAAAAACGTAAAAAGTTGTTTACCTTCATCTATTATAAAGAACAAATTAATTGTTATCAATTATCTACCATAAAATGAAAAACATGTTTATCTTACATCCACTTCACGGATTCTTCCGTATTTTCCAAAAGCTTCGTCGATGTCGCGTTCTGAGACAGATCTAGAAAGTCGTCCTAACAAATATACGTTACAGTCATCAATATTTTGCGTGTCGAATAAATCTAATAATAACCAAAAATCACGGACCAACATAGAGCCTAGCTACAAACTTATCTGCATTACTGTTACTGCCACTGCCACTTCCATTACCACCCCATCTTTTACTTTCATCGTAACCTCTTCGATCATCGAAGAAAGACATTTTAACACTCGTAAAGGGTGGGAATAAATGTATGTACAAATAATAAAGTCAATACATGAGGCTTTTTTATTTATTTAACTGGTCACACAAGCTGCAGTATTAAATCATGTGACCTGTCAAAAAAAATTTACGTAGGTGCTATGTGCATTTTTACGTATCCTATTTATACGAATGTCAACTTCTCTTGTTGCAGATTATAATTCAGATTCTTCGAGCGGTGGCGAAGAAACTTACTCAAATAAAGTAGAAGAAAAGATAACTTCACCACTAAAAATCGTACCTAAAAGTAAAAGAGAGGGTCCCGTGAAAATCGTAGTGGACCTTCCGGAATCTAATCAGGATGGTGAAGAAGAAAAATTAAAAGAAAAGCCGAAAAGATCAAGATTAGGGGATTCCAACAGCAGTGGCTTATTTGACCTTTTACCAGCGCCCAAGAGGCCAGCAAAAAAAGAGAATCAAAAATCTTCTACGGAGATTCCTACTAAAACGTCCGATGAAATCAAATCTACAGGAATTACTGGTTTTGTTCCTCACACGCTTAAAAAACGCAAGCCTATAACAACAGAAAAAACTTCTGCTTCGATTGATTCGGCTGGTTCGCTCTCTAATTCATTTTTTCCTCTGGGTAAATTTTTCTTTTAGAGACATATCGTTTATGTTTTCACGTGGTCGCATTAATGGGCTCAAGTTTTAAAAAAATATATATTAGGTGATGAAATCACAAATATATTGTCATCTAAAGATACCGGGGACGTATCTCCAAATAATATCAAATTTGACCCAAATGAATTAAATAGTGTAGTAGATTCGCGTGAAGATAATATTGCAAATAACTCGAATTTTTCCGCGACCGATGAATACACCTATGACCAGTGGCAAGATGTATCTGGATACCAAGAATCACATTATAATGATGATCAACAAGTTCTCAATGGAAATGAACATATACAATCAAGCTGGGGCCTAGATGAAGAAGTGGTATGAGTAAGATTAGGCACTTGTTAAAAATCAACATTTGTGTAAAAAGAAATTCATTTTTTCTTTTTAGCTTCAGCAACTAGGTAGAAGAAGAGGAAGAAATGAAGGACCTATTGTAGTTAAGGAGATTAATGCAGCAGATCAGATGGCCGACGCATGGCAATCACAAATGGCCGACCTATCAAACCCTTTCAAGAAATCGGGTACAGGACATTCGGTAATTCTTTTTAACATTAGCATTTACTATTGTTATTATTACCTTATTTATTTTTAACATTACATGATTACTATTTCTATATTTATGTCAGAGTTTCAAACCAACCAAGGGCCAAAAAAGAAAACATAATCTTATGTACCTTGCTCACCAAGCTAGTGTTATGGAAAACGATTTGAAGGAGCAACATTCCTTAAATAAAAAGACCAAGAGAGAAACCCAAGCAAAATATGGTAATGTATAAAAGACTTTGTATGAATTGTGAATAATGTATTGATATTTCTTATTTAATATAGGATTCTAGTGCACCACCATTGCTCTCTTTGTAGCTATTCAATTTATTGCTACATAATATATTTCATTCATAATGTATCCATTTTAGCTAATGGACGCATCAGAATATTATATATGTCATCTTCATGAACATTTTTTTATGCCTGATGTAGATCTCTTAATATGTAATCAGGTTTTTTTTTTACTCCGAAACTGGATTAGAGCTCCAGGGAGTAGAAGAGAACGATTGAATATTATATTTAAAATGTTACCAGAAAAAAAAAACAATGCAAATGGCAATTTCATTTTGATAAAGAATAATTAGCTTATGGTCAATTTTAACACCATAATGAGAAAGAACTTGTCCAAAAAAAATCTCATTTTTATAAATAAATTCTGAAATAAAAATCATTCAATAATTCAAGTCTAGAAATTAAACAAATGGTATAATTATATAACTTGTATAAAAAAAATTTTTTTTTTTATAGTTTTTACAAAAAAGAAATACAATTTGGATTTATAATATAAAGTATAATTATAAAGGTAATTTGTAATATTTAATATTATTAAAAGGCTTAAATTTTTAATTTTATTCAATAGGTAAACAATACAGTGTGATTCATAATTTTTTGAAATTGGTTTTTTAATATAATTCTATTAATAATTATTTAAATATTATAAAAA